GTGCAAGCCCTGTGTTCCCTGTTGCTGCAGGCCAGGCTGCCCAGCCAGCAGCAACAGGCTGTCAAGTCGCAGTTACGGGCTCGCCGCTTGCTGTTGCTGTGTGGCTCATCTCGCCTCTTGGGCAAGGGTTTGACCTCTTAGCTGAAGAGCCCGATTGCCGCGTGCTGCTCTCTGTGTGAGTTCCTGAGAAATGAGGTATTTCACGCTTGTCTTCTGAGCCCCTGCTGAGCGGCACGCTGGAGCCCAACTTGCGTTACAATTCCCCATGCACCACGTGCTTCCCAATTTCCGACAGTCGTTTTCAGGGAAGGCTGAGTATGAAATGAGTCACTGTGCTTGGAGGGAAGAAGCTGGTGCCAGCATACCCCCCTCATCGCTCTCGCTGCTGACCTGCACCAAGGGGGGAAATTGTTCCCCTCCAGAGCACATGGGGCCTTTCCAGGGCCACCTTCCCTCTAGCCAGGCTGCTGGGGCAGTGTTCAGGCTGGCAGTCTCAGGGAGGAAGCCCTAGCTGGTACCTCACGGCCTGCGCGTGCTCGCAGCCCTGGCGCAGCGAGGCCGGGGCACAGCTCCGTGCCCTCCGCAGGCCCCAGCTTCTCTACAGCGACACTGTTGGATCAAACGGCTCCGACACGTCCCTGAGAAAGCGAGTGAGTGTTTGTGTGTGTGAGGCTGGAAAGAGTTCAGTGTCCAGCTCCTGGGGGGCTATTGTAAACATGGAGGGAAAATGATTTGAAAAGGGATGCCAGCTTCCTGGGCCTGGCTCCACAAAAGCTGGAGGCAGCAGTGGCTGTGACCTGTGTAAGATACTGCAGGACTATCAGCGGCTTCATTTGGTTTACACTGCTCATTCCTTGGCTCCGGCAGGGAGGCATGGGCACACTCCCTTGGGAAGCTGTAAGGCTGTTTGTTCCAAGGGTGACACAGTGCCTCCCGGAAAGAGGAATTTGCTTACAACCCAAGCAAGCCTGAATCAGGATCGCCTGCAACAGTTTTCATCAGTGCCTGGGCTTTTGGCTCCTTTGTTTATGGCTTTGTTTATGGTGTTGATAATTTTCTTGTGTCAGGTTTAGGCACCAAGCATTCTTTCCACTGCTGCATAAGAAAGTAATTAGGTGAGAACGGAAAGGACATTCTTTTTCCTCAGAACAAAGAAATGAGCCATGTCTTTTATCGGGTGGCTGCTCGCTGGATTCAACATCTGCGGACTCACCCCTGCAGCTTGTGCCCAAGTGGTGGCTCTGCTTCAGTGGTGCAAATGGGAGAGCTGATCCTGCCCCAGAAAGTGCCAAAGCAACCCCTGGTGTTTCCTCAAAAATTACCGCTCTGGGAAGCCAGTCGCCATCACCAGGGTCAAAACCATGCAGCCCTGTTGCTCCCATCACACTTGCTTGCATCCAAGTGGGAGCTGCCAAATTACCTCCCCCTTCCATTGCTTTTCACATCTGCCAGGAGGAGAATGCTGCTGCGTGGGTTTTTGCATGCGATGCTGTGTTGTCGGTGCATGTGCTTGCAGGGACACCAGTGCTGTGGGTCATGGTCCCTGCTCTGCTTCAGAATCAGCTGTTCCCATGGGATTTATCCTCTGCATTTCTGCTTCTCCTTCCCTGGCCTCTCCACATCCTAGTGTGCAGATGGCAATATTCCCAGCCCAGGGAGGGTACAGCTGTGCTCCGAGGGGGCCTAAAAAGCCAGAGGCCATAGCAGAGTCTTGCAAGTAGCTCTTGGAGATGCCATCTGACCCTGATGTCTATACTACCACCTCTTTAACCCTGCTGGGACCATTGCAGACTCCCTAGTTTTGAGCTGGGATTTGGAGAGTAGCTGTGATTCTATGGTCTGGCAAGGGGTAGGAATGTGAATACCTGCTCAGGATGGCAGCACAGGCAAGCAAAGGATTTTACTTCCCCTGTTTCCTAGTGCTGAACTGAAGGGAAGGGGTGAGGGGGGCTGAGCCCAGAGCTGCGGGCATGGGCAGAGGAACAGGTGGGCTGGCTTGTTTGGACAGTGGCTTGGAAGACCAGGAGCAGGGTTTTAGCAGCGGCTGGGAACTGGACAGGTGATGCAGCCTCAGGAGGGTCCTCACTTCCCAGCCAGAGAGAGCCGTCTGGCTGCGGGTGACTCTCAGGACACTGAGTGTTTGCTGGAAGGGTGGACAGTCTGTGTCCAGCCTGGAGACTTTGGTGACAGGCCTGACGACTTATGTCAACCAGGAAAGAGGGTCTCTCAGACACCAGACAGGGACCCTCCAGAGCAGTAGATTTCATTGGTGTGGGAAGAAAAAGGATCATTCGGAGATGGATCAAATCAATCTGTGATGTGTTGCAGTGGGTAAAACACCTGCCAAGAAAATAGGTAGTGGAAAAAGGGAGCTGGAGCCTCTGGTTTCAAACAGGAGTGACTTTAAGAATGCACGTGATGGAGGCTGGAGAGGAGGCAGGACCATCCACCTCAAATCTTTTGGAGCAGATGGTCTGTGAAGACCTCTGGAGGCCTGCACGACAGGAGAGGGAGAGGAGGCTGCACCAGGGGGAAGGGATCCTGGAAGGTGCTGGGAGGTGGCAGCTGCAGAGCAAGGGCTGTACCTGGGCAGCATTGGCAGGGCTGGCACTGGTGGGAGAGCAGGAGAAGCTGCAGCCAGTTTCCTTTGGAGCTGTGTGTTTGCAGATCCTGTCACGAGCCAGTCTTGAGGCTGCCAAGGCAGCTTTGCCTCGGTGTGTGGTATGGGAGGGGAGATCTCTTGCTGATGGGGAGGCGAGGTGTGGGCACTCATTCAGACTGGGCACTCCAAAGGCACCAGGAGACTAAGGAGAGCAAGGCTCCCTAACACAAAAGTGGTGAGTGAGGGGATGGGGAAGCTAGAATGCTGGTATGCAGCAGACTAGGAGACAGTTGTTCCTTAAAACAACAAAACACCACTGAAATCATCAGGTCCAAGAATAGAATAAGTAAAGTACACAGTGCATATTCCAACACTGGAAGTTACTGACGATGTTGCCGAGCACACACCTATCAATGAATTTGAAAAGGGATTAGGTAAATTAATGGGTGGATATGACAATTTGCCTCTTAAACCCAATTGTCTAGCTATTGTATCAGGAAGCCCCTGCAGCACAGGTTGCTGGAAGACATAAAGGTGCACCAGACAGTTTGCTTTGCAGATACTCTGTTTCTCATATTTTTTATAAACATCCACCAGTTGCTCGCAGACAGAACAGTGAGACAGATGCACTTTTTGTCTGACTGGTGGCAAAATGAGCCTGGCACAATGAGACTGGGTTGGTGAGTGTTATTGACTGATGCATTTTGTAGCACCTGCGACAGGAACATGCACTGGCGGGTGCCTTCTCTCCCTGAGCATCTGCTGAGCCCTCCTCTGCCTTCCTTGCACCCAGAGATGTGATGAGAGTCCTCATGGTCAGGCTCATGGTCAGGACTATGTGCAGAGCCAGCCCGCTGCTAGCACAGCACGTTGTTGTCACACTGGGCTCAGACTGCATTCCTCCAGGCCAAGACCATGTGTGTAGCTGAAAGGGGACTCCTGACCCCCTGCTCCCTCCTCCCACTCTTCCCTCAATCTTTCTCAGGGCATTTAGTCATTTCAAGTCACATATATCCATCTCCAGCTGCCCATGCAGAAGCAGATGAGAGAAGGAAGGGCTATATACTCTTCTTTAAGCTGTTGGGACGTGTATCTTGGAAGGCATCACTAAAGCTGGAGGACCGAAAGTTTTGGATGGTCCCCTTTTTGGCTTGTACCCCATATATGTAAGTGTGTAAAGAGCTGAGCTGGGTTTGGGGGGATTGGAGAGGTCCAAAGCCAGGGTGAGATAGCAAATAAGGCTCCCCTTTGCTTTGCTCCTGCATCCTCCTGGAAAATGGGACCAAAAGCAGCAAGGGTGCTGGCGGTGCCGATGCAGCTCCTGGGGATCCTGGAGTGCTGGTGGCGTGTTTCCCTGGCATGCCCCGGTGCGTGTGCCCCACACCCCTGCCTGCCCCGCGCCCCGCGGCGGGAAGCGCTCGGGAGGCTGCGTGCCCCAGCAGGCGCTGGAGCGGCCTCCCGGCCACGCACGGGTTAACGCCTCTCTGCTGTAGTTTGTTTCCCTTTGCCAAAGTGGGTGTTGCTGGAATGTCTCCTCTCTGAAGGAGGGGGGCTGAGCCGTGTCCTCTGGAGAGGGGGGATGTCAGCATCAAAAAGACACAAAAGGGGGAGGTTTCCAAAAATAAAACCCTCCATCCCCTCCAGACTCTGCCATTGCCAGAGGCAGGCGAGAAGGTGCTTGGAGCTGTCTGCAGAGCACACGAGCTCCCTGACAGCTTGGCGAGAGGGGACGGAGAGGAGGGACTGGCAATTCTCCTTCTGCAGGGCAGGAGGGACAGCTGCAGCTGCAGCCCACGCGGTTGAGGTAGCTGCGTTGTCTTCACCCCTGGACCCTGTAGGCAACAGGTACCGGTCAAGCCACAGTGATATGGGGAAGTGACTTTCTGCTCCAGCAGATTCATCTGAGAAAATTGGCTGGTTCCCTCTCCCTCCGAGCTGCCGTTGGACACCGGGCTGCAGGAGGATGCCAGCCCCACGCTGAGCGCTCACCGCACCTCCCGGGTCTTGCCTTTGCCCACGGGCTGACACCATGCGGTGCGCCGGGGGGAGCGTCCTCCCTCTCACGTTTGTCATTTTTTTGGGACTTGGTGATTCGCAGCGAGACTTTGCTGTGCGATTTGAACCGAGCACCTCTCACCGAGCTGAATCCGGGAGCAGGGAGGCACCACGTCCAAGGCTCCGGAGTCAGGGTGCTCCCGTGCGACCTGCGGGCACCGTGTACAACTTGTTCCAGGGGCAGAGCCTCCCTGCGGAGTCAGGGTCCCGTCACCTGGACCACGACTCCGGAGCCGGCATGGGCAGCCTGAGCGCAAGGGACAGCTCGAGGCAGCGTCCTGATCACGGACCGTCTGCGCCGCAGGGTGCTCGGGGCCAAGCCGGCGACGTCACGGGGGCTGCAGGCTCCCCCAGACGGGGCCTCAGCCCCAGTTCGGGCCAGAGGCAGAGAGGGGACCCATCCCGCCAGCGGTCCAGAAATGGGCTCAAAGCTCGCATCGTGCCCCGGGCAAAGGAGCCGAATGGCAGAGGGAGAATGATAGGGTAAGTTTTGTGGCTAGGGGGACTTTCTTTAGGACTGGATATTTAATGTGATTCCTGGTGGCCCTGCCCTCAGGGAGCTCCACAGCGGAGATGCCAGATCCCGCCCTGGTACCTGTGCTAGCTCCTGGCACATCTCCCTTTTTCCCTGATGATGGAGCCATCAGCTCCCATCTCCATCGGTGCTTGAGAGGAGGTAGCACTCAGAGTCCATGTATCCCTGGGATGCCCATCTCTGAATGTGGGGGGCAGTTACCAGGACAGATCCATGTGGGGCTTGGGCTTGGGCTGTGCTGACCCTTGGCTGGCGCTGGCACACAGCCAAGGCTCCAGAGCACATCAGGAGGCAGCTCAGTTACTTGCTCTTGTGCTGTGTGTCTGTCCCACATCTGCGGGAGGCGTTTGCAGCGCTCTGTTGCGCACAGAGCGTGTGTGTTTGTGTGAACACGTGCGTGCGAGAGCCTCAGAGCGGGGGAGACACTTTGCTTGTCTGCAGCCTTTCACTGGGGTGCGTGGTTTACGAGCGTGCTGGGTTTGATGCCCTTCTGCTGACACATCAGGGCTCCGGCGGGTCAGACATCTGCGCCGCGCTGCAGGCGGTGGCTGTTCCTGTGCCGCTCTCTGCGTACGGCCGTCCTGGAACGCGTGCGGAATGGGGGCTGCCGGCAGAGAGGCTGCATGTCCGCGGTGCTGCGCTCCGCATGGGGGTGGCAGGACAGGCCAGAGGGCTTTGCTTGGCTCTGCAGGACAGAGCCTGGCTGCCCGGGCTTTTGCTGCAGGTAGCTGGTCTCTTGGCTCTTTCCTCCCATAACGGGCCCCTTGTAAGCACGGAGCACAGCAGCTTCCCATGGCTTCAGCTGGCTCAGACGGGGGAGGCTTCCTACGACTTGCCTGGCAGAGCTGCTTCCAGCTCCAGTCCCTGGCTCCAGCCCTGTGGAGGTGGAGTGGGGATCGGATGGCAAGGCCAGCTGCTCCGCCGCAGCGCGGAGCCTGTGGACGGGCCGGCTGCTGACCGCCCTCCAGCCCCAGGCGCCCTCCTGTGAGCTCCCCGTGGGCGATGCCGCCCGCAAGGAGCTGCTCTGCTAGCTGGGAAGAGCTGCTGAAGCTCCTGCGCAGACCGTCTGGAAGACCCGTGTGTGGGGGAGCATGTGTTGAGCCTCCACGTGAGCCCTGCCGTGGGGTGCAGGGGTCAGGCTGTGGGCTCATTGCCATCTCGCAGAGCCACGGGAGAGACCCAAAGACAGGTTTTCTGCTGATGAGGGACAGGGAACTTCACTAGGATATGAAAGGTGGTTTAATCCCTACAACTTCTCTGTCCTGTCTTTGCCTCCCTACAAAATATATGACAGGAATTTTCCTTGCTCCATTCCATGTCATTTTCTACAAAAACCATATAGAAGCAGTAAACACCACCTGACTCTTCTTCCTATTATGTTTGATATACCATTTATCATTAATGGATAGGCAATGGCAGGTAGTCCTGACCCGTTCCTGGCGTTCCTCTTCCATCAGCCTTGTTTCGTCCATTACCTGGAGGGAGAGTGTTGGAATAATTCCCTGGGAAGCTGCAATACTACTCAGTCAGGTTTGGGCACTCAAAAGCAGGCTTAGAAGGCTTCCCTCATTTCCAGAGTGTGGTCAGCATTGCTCCAGGATCACATGGTGGTTAACTGGAGGTGAGTCACCTGTGATGTGGCCTCCTTCTTTTGTAATGACCACCCCATGTCTCCAGCATGTTTGCAGGCTGCAGCTGTCTCCAGTGACAACAGCTGGCCCCGCTGTTACCGGGAGCGGGTGGGCGGCTCCGAGGCACAGGCTGCATCTAGAAGAATTTTGAACCTCTTTGAAAGGAACCCTCATCCTTTAATCAGGGCACAAATGAGGATGGTGGGTCCCGCATTTCTGCTCTGGTGACCAGTTATTAGCTAAATTTGGCTTCCAGGGGTATGTGAGACTCTGCCACTGCTGCCCAGCTTAGAGAAATGAAAATACTGAGTCCTCCTGCTGTATTTCCCTAGCAATCTGCACTGTTCTCCCTTTCTCCTGTTTGCTCTGGAAGGTGAGGGCTGGGAATAATGTGCTTACTGCGGTCCTCAAGAACTTGAACTCTGGAACGTGCATATAATGACTTGTCATCAATAGCTTTCCATTTCTTCTGGAGTCCAAATCACCACTTTTTTAACTTCCCTGTGAATGACTGTCTTTGGAGTTTATGAGAAAGTGTAGCTAAAATAATAGTCAGTGAGTAACCACATGGTGTTACTCCTCATGGAAACCTAGTGCTGCTGTTCTCCAAGTCATTCTGTAAAACTCCCGTGATTCCACCTCATCCATCTTCTTATATCCCTTGCTGCATTGGACATGTTTCCATCCAGGAAACTCAGGGCCTCCAGAAATCTTCATTTCATGATGTTTCCTTTTTTTGCCAGGTAGGATATTTTCTGGTCTGCTGTTTACACTGCACTCCTGCTACTTTCTAGGATGATAACCTTATTTTTCCTTCATTCAGATAGCTTTGCAGATTTAATAAGTCCCAGTGCTATTTAGTTATTTTGATTAAAGTCAACAGACAGGCTGATCTTTCCCGATTCCCAAGTCACAGTTCCCTGCTTGTACCTCTAAAAGCCTCACTTATTGTGAGACTGTATTCTGTGGGTAAAAAAAGCATTTGTTAGTACAATATCCTTTCTGGATCATTACCTTCCCACTTCATTTTACAAGGGCATACTCAGGATTGAGTTTCTTGCTTGGGGGCTGTTCCGATGTGTCTCCCACTTTGCTCATATCTGACTTTGTCGCAGGTGGGACCTCCTCACACCCTTCCATGAGCATATCCAACTGAAAGTCTTGGAAGAGATGGATTTTAGTATTTTCTCCCATTGGTTCACTGTAAAGCAATTTTTGACAGCACAGCAAGAATTGTAGAGAATTACTGTATTCTAACATACAGTGTTTTCCTGAGCAAGGAAAACAATACATTCTAAAGCATCTCTTCCTGCTTTTCTGTGCTCTGTTTGCTCTGTTTCCCCCTAACTGATTTCTAGGCACATCCATTCCCTGACTTTTGCAGATAAGCCATTTCTACCCGCTGCCTGGTAGCAGATGACTTTCCAGCCCAGTGTGTGCAGTCTCACGTTTCAATTTTATGTAGGCTCACTGATGCAGCTCCTGCTTGATGGAAAAAATTTCCTTCTAAGTCATGGATTGCAAGCTCCTCAACCTGTGAAAAGGCCCTGACCACACTGGGGATGACTGTACTTCTGTGACTGGTGTGCCCCTAATTTGGGCTGGCTAGTTTTGCTGGGAAGCCCGCTGTGATGCCATAAGCATCTCCCTCTGCCTCCTTGTGTGCTGTCACCTCCTCATCCAGCCTTGCTGCACCAGCCAGACTGTGCATACCCTCTCTTGCACCGCACAGCTCCTGCTTCTGCCTCCTGTCCTGGTTTCAGATCCCTTGGGACAGGAGGATTTGTGTGCTGAAGCCCTGGGAGCTTGGGAGACTCCCAAATTATTAGCCTAGGTAACCTGGAGCACTTCAAGCTGTGAGACTACTGTCCCTGCAGTCTTTCTATACACTCCTTTGCCAGATAACTACTATATTTTCACCTGCATAATCTATATCTTAGACAACCCATCTCCCCATTTAAAAGAATTGTTCTGTGAAAATAAATCCTCCGATGACATACACGTTATCTTATATGATCCATTTTAGAGAAAGGTGGGTAACTGGGGAGAAATCACCTGTGTAAGTCCCTGCTTCTGTTACTTGCATGGTCAATTTGGTGGCATGGCGACAGTTGGAAGCTACTCAGAGCTACTCAGATTTCAGCAATCTCTGAGAATTTAGCTGGGAACCCTGAATTCTCTCCTATGTTCTCCCTCTCACTTTCTTTTTGTGCATTTTACTCCCCAATTCTTGTTTAATCCCTGCTGTAGATACTGTCTGTGGTTATACACAGTTCCACTTTAGTTAGGCTCCGTGGGTTATATGCTCTCTCTGTAGTGTGTTTGCAGGACTGCTCGGGAGCTGAGGCAGTTAATGCTGATGTGATCTTGGCAGAGTATTTTCAGTGCCTTGTCGATGCCAGCAGCTTTTGCTAATGTTCTTCCTTGAGTCTGACTGCAAAAGTTTCATATGCAGTTGGATGAAGTTCACTGTCCTGCAATATAGAGGCAGACCTGATGATCTAATGGTCCCCTGGCTTTCAGTGTAGGATACTGTAAATGACCTGAATGGAGTCAGTGTATCTGGCAGCAAAACGTGCTGCATAAAGTTGAAAGATGATGTATAGATTGCTGTTAAATAAATAGTGAAAGAATGGTTCTACTGAATGTTTCAGTAAGTGATCACCACTGAGGCTGCGCATATGCTTAAACTATGTGAATTTATGCTCTTACTGCTATTTTGTTGTTTTCTTTCCCCCTAGTGTTTGTTATAGTTGCTTGCCTCTCGTCTCAGATAACACTTCAAAATCTTGCAGCCTTCTATCATGCTGGATGTTTGTCCACTATCTTGCATGGTGGGGACCTGAAGCTGACGGTGGCCGCTGGTTGCTGCAGCAATACAGATCACAAAGGATTGCCCTGCTGCAGTTCCTTTGCCCAGGTGGCAGGTTATGTTTGTGCCTTCACTCAGGGTCATGAATGGTATTTCCTGGTGTAAGAGGAGGCTTCATGCTGTGTAAAGGGCTTTCCGAGAAATATCTGTTACAGAAAAAAAACAGGTCACTGACAAATACTTCACACCTCCTGTGCTCCAAGCTACCTGCTCTACGTCCACGTTATTTGTTGAACCAGGGACAAGCTGGATTTGCATTTTCTTACTGCGTTTTGCAGTGTTTAGAGTAGGGAGTACCTCAGACTTCAGGCAGGAGCTGATATGCGGTCTAATCCCTCACGCTGCATTTTGTTGGAAATGCAAACCCCATATCTCCAATAGTAAAACATGCACTACAGTATTTTCTGGTACTTTGGCTATTCAGTAGTCTGAGTTACCAACTCTC